TCAGTGCTGGTGGAGATTATTATTTCAGGGGCCTAAAGAATAACTATTGTCATTCATGGAATAAAGTGTTTTGAATCTGACTTTGACTTATGATACATCAAAGATAAAATAAGCCTTGAGGGTGGTAAGTAAAAGAAAACGGACCTGATATAAATATCGTGAAATAAAAGAAAACGAGATCATCGTCGGAAAATCAAAGAAAACGGATTTTCAAAAGAATGTGTATCCAGAAAGCTAAAGAAAATGGAGATTAAGGATAGTCAGACAGCAAAAGAAAACGGAAAACGACGAATTACGAGAAAATTACAAAAGATAAATTCCTCTCCCACACATAACTCGGGAGAGGAAATAAGCCTTTGAACTTTAACTGACCTAAGACCTTCTGAAGCGCTCCGGCCTTGACATCACTCCAGGAAGCGAAGAATGGATGAGGTTTGAGGAAGTCTGCCCACAGTAAAGCTGTCATGGAGTTGAGCTGCGTCGAGACAGAACTGTGCGGGAATAAAAATGCATGTCAGCGTTACAGTAACACCATGTTATAATTTCCGTGCTTAATATAGATCAGTGGAAAGAGTTTTATATATATTATTCTGACTAATAATATCATGAAACAGACTAACCCTATACGAGGAACAGACGTAAATAACATTTCTCAGTACCTCAGAACCGCAGCATAGATGGCCGCTACGAAGATCCCGGCGAGACCCGGTACTCTCGTCAGCACCGTCAGCACGTAGAGGATGACCACGTAAGCGGGTTCCTCAGCCCCAGGTTTCGCCATGGGGTCGCACTTGTAGAAGTGGGCGTAGATGGCCAGCCCCGAGAGATGGATCAGGCCTCTGAGTAAGACCATCCCACCGGCAGCGTAATAAAGCACCCTGGATCCACAGAACGGGGAATTAGATTCTCGTAAAGTAAATACACATTTCTCGTTTAAGAATCCACGTGGATAAGCATGTAGTCAGACATTTTGGTTAAGAATCCATGGGTACAAGTAAGCAATCAAACATAAAAGAAGAAATTCCACGACGCACCTCTGGGCTTCCTGGACGGTCCTGGTGCTGAAGAAGCGTTGAGTCTGGCTCTGGTTGACGCCGTAGGATCCAAGGGCAAAGAAGAAGCCCAGACAGAGACAGAGCCAGAAGCTGTGTCGCTGATACGGGTCTAAGTCAAAGCTGGTGGAGAAAGAGTCATCTCAGAGGCTTTATAATAAATCAATATCCATCAGATTTGCAACAGTTGCTTCTTTCATTTTACGGTAAAATCCACATTAAATAAATCCAGTTAATTTGCATCAAAATGGCTTTTGTTCAAAGCATTGTTTAAACCCTTACTTGAAGAGCTCCGTCCTGTTATGGTGGTAGGCGATGTCCCACACGACGTCGAGGCCGCCGACGTTGAGAGAACCAATGATGACGATGGCTAAAACGCCCGCCAGCATGACTAGGGCCTGGAACACGTCTGTGTACACTACCGCCTTCACACCACCCTGAGGAAAGCACGTGAGTTGTAATTTGTGATTGATGCAAACCATGCAGAAAAATAATTATTTGATCAGCATATTGTGCAGAGATAGACACAATTCGCTAAAGAAATAAAACTAACAATGGCTGAATAGAATGTGCAGGTGGCACCCATGATGAAGATGTTGAGGAGGATGTCAAGCCCCGTGAAGGCCTGCAGGGCGATGGAGGGCGGGTACAGCAGGAACCCCATGAAGAAGTAGCCGCCCACCAGCTGCAGCACCACGGTGGCCTGCCGCAGCCACTTGGCGTTGAACCGCTTCTCGATGTACTGAAAGACAACTGTCAATCACCGTGGTGTTCCTTGACTCAGTCATGGTCGAAGACCTTCGACCTGTATATCAGTTCCATTATGACAAATAAAGTAAGCACCTGTGCTTACTGAGGACCGCAAAGACGGTTCTCCGTCGGGAGACACCCGACGACAGGCTCCTCGTCCTCACTCACCTCGTACAGCGAGACGACCTCCATGGGGTGGATGATGGGGATCATGACCTTGGCGATGATGACCAGCGCCAGCAGGATCCCCAGGTCCATGATCCACAGCTGGGTGCCGTACGCGTACATCTCGCCCGCGTTGCCCATGATGGTGATGGCCGACACCGTGCCCACCATCATGCTCATGGCCAGCGGCAGGGGCCTCATCTTCCTCGAGCCCATGAGGTAGCCCTCGGGCGTGGCGCGGCGCCCCACGTAGCCCTGGTAGAGGCCGATCACCGCGCTCACCAACACCGACAGCGTCAGCAACAATATGTCCACGATCCCGAGACCCATGGCGGCGGCAGGAATAGAATCACTTGTCGCTCTTCACTCTTAGCGTCCACAGGGAATCACTCTCTTGCTGTCACTCTAGATTATGTCTATTATGCGCTACACACACAATGCTAACCAGTTATCTTTCTGTGAAAAATGTTATCAAACTGGTGATTTAGATTACCCTCCTTTGGTACAAACAGATAACGCCTTTTCTTGCAAATCTGAAATAAAAGAAATGGGTACATTAGATAAAATGTGTGAAATGATTTGTCGTTAAATCAGTAATCCATTCTTGCAAAAAAAAAAAGGTTCTGTTTGCTATTGTTACCTATAATTTGGTAACTTTCATTTTCCTTAAATTAACCATGTTAAATACAAGTTTTAAATGTATATGTATTTATAATGTCACGCCCACTCAGCATAAAATCCATTGTATTACTGACTTATAAGAGGCTGAATGCATCATGTTAATTAATGATAATCAATAGGGGATGAATAACAAAAAAAATAATAATAATAATAAAAAGTAGATAAGTATATAAAAAAAATAAGGACAATCATTCTTTCGACTTTCCTTGTGCTCCACAAAAGATGATTTCCTGAACATGATAACACGTACATAAAAATAAGCCCCATCATTTAAAAAAAAACACGACCACGACACTTAATCTAACAAACTAACAAATAACTCCTCCATTAGCACTTATCAAAAAAAGTATCTTATCATTATTCCATAATCACTTACCATCAATACAACAGTTACACCCACGCTGACGATCCAGGTGTGACCGTCGCAAAACACGAGACCAAACCTGACTAGCTTTAGGTCTCGACAGAAGGACAGAGACAGGTTATGCTAATAGTCTGCGTGTGGATAATGGTCCTACTTGTACCTAAGACACGAGGAGGAGGATATGAAATCACTATACACTTGTATATTATTGTGACGAATGACCCTGGAGCTTGTCCATACCCTAAATATTATATGGGCATGTAGATTATTATGATTGATAGTGTATTAAGTGTCAGTGCTGTGTTGTGTGCATACCACTGGCAACGGGCATTTAGTAGGAGTGCGGGTTACGGCTATATCCACGCGATATTTATATCAGTGGTATAATAGCTTCAATACCATGTAAGTGAAGGTATGCTGTCTTTTGTGTGAATAATCATGCTCTGCATATCGGCAATACAGCTGTTTTTGTTATTGTTGTATTCAATAAGAACGACCTGCTAACCTTGAAAAAATATCCCATTTTTTCCATTCGAATTTCGTATTCCAGAAATGTATGTGATTTTGAATATTAAAGAAGTGTTTTACAGTGACAGTTACTTGTTTTACCACATTAACGTAAGACATGTGGTAAATATAACAAGTAATATGACGAACGTAAATAAATCTCTAATATAATAGTAATACATAAAATTCGGAAGTGGGAGATGGATAAGAAGAGGAACATGTAATGCAAGGACTATAAGGTCCAGTCTTCCATGAAATGCAGGAGGAAAACCGACTAATATGGTATTCTGCTCCACCTTCGCTAAGGGAACGAAATCCATACAAAAGGAGACTGTGTGTGTGTGTGTGTGTGTGTGTGTGTGTGTGTGTGTGTGTGTGTGTGTGTACATGCGCGTGAGTATGAACGTGTGCGTGTGCATTTCATCACGGCATGAGGGTAATCAAAATACCTTGGCTAACAATTTCCCCATTGTCAATGCATGAGGCAGTCCCATAACACGTGAATTGATAGGGTGGAGGAACTGCTGTCACGTGTCACGCCCGCTATAGTGATACGCAGGGTTAGGGGACACGCAATTCGGGTCAGTGTGTCACCTTCCTATCTCTTGCATAATACACTTACCCATTCTTGGAAAGGTAACGTAGACACTTATATTATCGAGTGTTTGTTACACGATCCATCTTAAGTAAACATTATGTAAAGACAGAGAATGAGTAATAGATAAAGCAATGCGATTATTTAGACGAGAAAAGGTATATTTTTTAATACATTTCTGAACTTAAAGGAAGAATTTTTGTGGGCGAAAACGTTGGGGAATCCCTTGGTTTGGAGAGTTACATGATCCTGCAGATCAAACAGTGACAAATAGACGTCATAGGATGGATCTCTTACAGTTTTCGTTTTCTTTTAATGGCTTCCCATTTTCTTTCTGGTTAATCTTATTTTCTTTTTCGGGGTAAACTGCGATATATCTCTATATCTGAGATAAAACAAAAGAGCACAAGAACGTTAGTGTACAAGCACAGTGTTTACAAAGTGAATGCCACAGACGGTCGGGACAATGTTATCTTAGCAAGCACTTCATCATCCGAAAATAAACATTGTTAGTTTGCGTGACACGATTCAACGAACTGAATTACTTCACTGTGTTAAAGAATGGGAAAAAAATTAACTTAGACTCCATATTGAATACTCGAGCCAGACGCCAAGAGAAAAACCTTTCCGGCTTATCTGAACGGCCGAAAAATTACGGAACTGTAAAAGCAATACATGCATTTATTACCACAACAGTTTAACCAAAGCTGATTAAAAAGGATCCACCTGAAAATGCGTCCCTCAACGTATAAGTTCTGGCAACACTGCAAGAATAGCAAACCCAGTGATTAGACAGAGATAGAATTACAAACGCTCATTGTATTTAAAAAGGAAAAGAAAAAACTTTTTGTTTTGCATTTGATTAATAAGAGGATATATTCCTACT